GAGGAGCGGAAGGGCAGGCTCAGGCAGCTCCCCAGCAACTCAGATGGTGATAAAACTTGAGAAATAACAAGGAGGGGCGGCTGCGTGTCTTCTGGGGCCAATCCTGTGGAAGGAGCAAACACACTCCGGGCAGGCAAACCTGACAGAGGCCAAGGCGAGTTAAGGACCAGCAGCAGCGAGGAAAGGCGCTCCCGCGCCGCTGCAGCTCCGGGGGCTCTGGCTCTGGCATCCCACCCAGCACCCTTGGTTCGCTCCTTGTCCCACGCCCCGATGGCCGCCGTCGGGCCGCGGAGCTCCGTGCGCGGAGCCCTCTGCAAGCAGCTACTGCTGACCCTCTTGGTGAGTGGGAGCCTGGGATGGAATGAGGACTGATCCACTCTGGTCGCTGTAGGGGGGTCCCGGGAAAGTTGGGGCGGCAAGGCAGACTGAAAGGTGACACGCATGGCTCAGCTCAATCCTGCAGGGCCGCTACCCCAAATTCGGGCCGGGAGGAGTAAGAAGAGAAAACGAACCTTTGAGGGACGACTGGATTAACTTTTTTCTTTGGAACACCGCCTTCGATTGTTCCAATTACTTGACTCACCCCTGTGTCGCTGCGCGCCCGCGGGCACCGTCGCGGGTGGATCCAGGGTTGGGATTCGCGCTCCTCCCGGGACTCCCAAGCCTGGGCAAGGTGTGGGGGAGTTAAAGTGAGACCGAAGAATTACTGTTGTTCAGTTATTACTGGAACCCCAGGCTGAGGGAAAATAAAATTAAATAAAATAAAAAGCACAGACCTGAAGGTGGGCTCAGAGGCTTCCTCTCGTCCTCTCCCGCAGGGCTCCGTCTGGCCTTGCAGGGAGGCATTAGGGACCGGAAGGGTCATAGCTGGGACCCGGGGTCCCGGCGTGGGAAACAGGCTTTTTGTTGTGGCTTCCCCAAGGGTTATTCACCGGCTTGCCCAACCACTCACCCCGCCAACGATGCGGCTAGGGGCGCTGTGATCTGGGGCGCGAGGCTGGGGTCAGGATTGGAGTTTGAGGTGTGGTAAGGGGACAGTGCTGGGGTGTGGTGTTGCCGGGGACGAGATGGGATTGAAAGAGCTGCGCTAGCCCAGAACCCAGACTGGGGCGAAGGACTAGATCTTTTTGGAGAGGAGGTTAGGGTCAGTGTTCGCAGAACACAGATGTGAAGCGGAAAATTAGGAAGCCCTACGTTAAGGAGCTCTGGTAGCATAGTGGCTAAGACACTTGCCTGCTAACCAGACGGCTGGCGGTTCAAACCCACCAGCCACTCCTCGGAAGGAAGGTTGGGCAATCCTACTTCCGTAGTGATAACTGCCTCGGAAACCCAAGGGAGGGGTCGCTATGAGTCGGGGCTGACTCGACGGCAAATAACAACAACAACAACACGTTGCATTACGCTCGGATCTTCAGACGCGACCAGGGTTGAGCACCAGACATGCGGGAAGGAGCTATAGACCTCAGAGTTGCGGGTACCCAAGGATAAGCACGGGGTCCGGGGGTTGGGGAGAGAAGGCACCACCCGGTTCGAAAGAGGATTGACTTCTTGTTGGTGCCTCCCCCGCAGGGCAAGTTGGGTCCACGCTTTGTGCTCTCTTTGAATTAACGAATTGTGAGTGCTGGATTTGTAGTTATGATCCAAGATCTGAGAAGGAATTGTACAAAATACCTGAGCTGATGAGATGAGTCTTTACAAATGCGAACTACTTACTCTTAAAATACCGTCTTCTGATATTTACCAAACCTTCTGCAGCTTTTCTGTTCGAAAGCTTGAGGCTGGTGTTTTGTGCTCACCCTGCGAAATGGACGGAGAATGGGGAGAAGAAACTGCGGAAGTGCTAGGTTCCCAAGATTTCCCTATTCCCTTGAGGGGAGGGCGTGGAAAACAAGGCACTGTCCTAGTTCAAAGGGGGACGGGGCGGGTTGGGGTGTGACCAAGCAAGAAGGGGCAAGTAAATCTAAATCAAGATAGCATCAACTCTCATTTATGACAAATGCCTTTAGGATTATTTTTGAGAAGGATTCTGTAAGGTTTAAATTAAATGGTATCTCTGGAGAGGCTTGAATACTAGAGAGTGTATATAAAATAATAATTTATTTCATCCCCTGTATCCAGTTTACAAATATTTTTACTTCCTGTCCAGATGGCTAAATGAACAACTCCATTGGCCATTTCATGTCTGTACTCCCTTTTGACTCATCTGACTGTCAACTTTTCAGTATAATATTAATGATGTAGCATTTTAGAGATGCACCTTCATTTCATAGAGACTTTATTGGATCTCACTAAAAGAGTAGCTTGTTCTGAGAGTTCTTCAAAGCAAGGCTTTTACACAAACTGAAGACATAACATCTTAGCTTTCTGACTGAATTGTGCTATAGGTTGAGGAATGTTCCCAATTTGCACTTTTTGTTTCCTGTGTCCCTTTCTTACCCTTGCCCTACCTGTTTCCTGAGTTTATTCAAGGTGACCGCAAGGTATGTCCGAGTACCACTGTGTTCCACAGAGTTTTCAATAGGTGAATTTTCAGAAGTAGATTGCTAAGCTTTTCTTCAGAGGGACCTCTGGGCAGGCTAGCCTCTGGGTGGACTTGTAGCAGCCAGGCATTAACAATTTGCACCACCCAGAACTCAGAGCCACCACCCTTTTTCCTAATCACACTCAAATACAGTTCTTACCTAGCCCCAGGAGCTCTTGGGTGGTGGAAGGAGTTAAGTGCTCTGACAACTAGCCCAAAGACTGGCATTTGGACCCAGCCAGTGGCTCCTTGGAAGACAGTCCTGGCAGTCAGCTTCTGGAGGTCACAGCCTTGGAAACCAGCCACTCCTCAGAAGGAAGATGGGGAAATCTACTTCCATAGTGATACTGCCTTGGAAACCCAAGGAGGGGTCGCTATGAGTCGGGTCCGACTCCGCGGCACATAACAACAACAACAACATATTTCATGAATGCATATGGATATAATGAAAGTATAAATACCTACACAGGATATATAAACAATAGCTTTACAAGAAACTATTCCCTGGAGAAAAGAAATAGAAATGGAAGAGAGCATAGGATTCTAGCTACATCTGTACCTTTTCTGTTAAAAAATGAAGCAAAAATCACAAAATGTTAATACAAAGATTGGGATGGGTACAGGACCACTTCTTATATTTGATTGAAATATATCATAGTTGATTTGATTTTTTTAAAAGATGTGATTAACAAATATTGAATGTATGTTGAAAAAAGCCTGTTTTCACTGTGATAACTATATGCTTAAGGACAATATTCAATTTTGTTGTTCTTGTCAGGTGTCCTTGAGTTGGTTCTGACTCATGGCAACCCTATACACAACAGAACAAAACATTACCCAGTGTTGTTCCATCCTCAAAATTATTGCTGTGTTTGAGCCCATTGCTGAAGTCTTTTAAGGGCAAGTCATTTATTACTTTAATGTCACAGTTAGCCATCCAGCTTGGACTTCCTGAACATACCTTTCCTTAATACTTAATGATGTTGGATATTTTAAAATCTTATTGGCTATGTATATATCTTCTCTGGAGAATGTCTATTTAAATTCTTGGTATATTAGTTTGTGTCATTTATCTTTTATTATTGACTTGTAAGACTTTATATATATAGAATGATTTGCAATTATTTTCTCCCTTTCTGTGGCTTGTATTTTTCACTTTCTTTATAGTATCTTTTAAAAAGTAAAAGTTTTTAATTTTTATTAAGTCTTTGATCAGTTTTTCTTTTATTGTTTGTGCTTTTGATGCTATATCAAAGAAATCATTGCCTAACTGAAGATTATAAAGATTAACTCTTAGGTTGTCTTCAAACTAGTTTTAATTCTTACATTTATGTCTGAGATCCATTCTGAGTTAATTTTTGTATAGGGTCCAAATTCATCTTTTTAAATGAGGTTATTAGTTTGTCTTAGCATCATTTGTTGAAAAGATTTTTTTTCCATGAATTTTCTGGGCAATATTAGTTAATCGTAAATGTTAGAGTTTATTTTAGGGCTTTTAGTTTTATTTCATTTGTTTATGTGCTTATCTTTCTGCCAGTACCACACTGTCTTGGTAATTGTAGCTTTGTAGTACTTTGTATATGTTCTGAAATCAGGAAGTGTAAATCCTTCAAATTTATTCTTTTTCAAGATTATTTGGGTCACTTGTATTTGCATGAGCACTAGCTTGTCAATTTCTGCAAAAAAAAAAAAAAGCTAGATAGGGTTTGTTTGGAATTTGTAGTTAAATTTGGGGAACATTGTCATCTTAACAGTATTCCATCTTTTGATCCATGAACAAGAGAGTGTCTAAATTTCTCTGAGTGATTTTAAATTTCATTCAGCAATGTTATATGATTTTCAGTGTAACAAGTTTTATACTTCCTTCATTAAATTTCTTCCCAAGTATTTTATTTTTGTTGATGCTATTGTGAAGTTCATACTATTATGAATGGAATTGTTTTCATAAATTTATTTTTAGATTGTTCATTGCTAATATATAGACCTTCAATTAAATTTTGTTATATCAATTTTGTATCATGCAAACTTGCTGATCTCATTTATGAGTTGTTACAGTGTTTTGGTTGATTCTTTAGGATTTTTTATAGATAAGATCATATCATCTGCAAATAGTGGGAGTTTTACTTTTTCCTTCCAAACTTGGATGTCTTTCATCTCATTTTCTTAATTATTCTGGTTGGAGCTCCAATACAATGTTGAAGAAAAGTGGTAAAAGCAGATATCATTGTGTTGTTCCTGATCTTAGGGGAGAAGATTCAGTCTTTCTCCATTAACTATGATGTTACAGGTTTTTCATAGGTGCCTTTTATTATGTTGTTCAAGTTCTTTTTTCTTCCTAGCTTTTTTTTTTTTTAAATCATAAATGAGTTTTGGATTTTGACAATGTTTTCTGCATTTATTGAGATGATCATGGTTTTTTTTCCCCCTCTATTCTATTTTTAATATTTTATTTCTTATTCTAGGTCTTCAATTTTGCTTGTGAAGCTTGCAAAAAGGTTATATTCAATATACCTTCTAAGCTGGAGGCAGATAAAATGATTGGAAGAGGTGAGCTATGTCAAAACAATATTTTAAAGACAGGAATTTAGTTCATCTAGCTGGAGAGACTGGCTGTTCAAACCCACCAGCCACTCCTTGGAAGGAAGGTTGGGCAATCCCACTTCCGTAGTGATACTGCCTCGGAAACCCAAGGAGGGGTCTCTATGAGTCAGGGCTGACTCGACGGCACATAACAACAACAACAACAACAAGCTGGAGAGAGGACAGGGCATCCAATCTTTGCCTTTTGGAGTTAGCCTAAATATACTCATAAACTTAAAAAAAAAAAAAAAAGAACAAACAACCAAACTCACTGCCACCAAGTTGATTCTGATACATAGTGACCTGCTTTGGGTTTCTGAGGAGTAAATCTTTACAGAAGTAGATAGTCCAGTCTTCCTTCTGTGGAGTGGCTGGTGGGTTTGCACCACCAACCTTTTGGTTAGCAGTCAAATGCCTTAGTCACTATGCCTGAATCTACTTATAAGAAAATGAAAATCAAGATATTTTTAAAAGTATGCTTCTGTGCTTTATGTTGTTGTTGTTGTTGTTGTTGTTATGTGTTGTTGTTGTTGTTGTTATGTGTTGTGTTGTTGTTATGGCATTGTTGTTGTTATATGTTGTGTTGTTGTTATGGCATTAATGACTTGTATCTGGCAGTAACAAAGGCCAAGGTATGAGGCCTTTGTTACTGCCATATATAAGTCGTTAATGTGCAACATAGTTATATAGTAGATTTCTTACTATTGTTGTAAAAGCAAAATGTCGGATAATGAGATAGTCAATAAGTAAGGAGTTACTGTAGTAACTTACCAGTTTGGTTTCTATTAAGGTATATTAGTTGAACAATGGGTTGGAAAATAGATACATTTCAATACCGATCTTGTACTACCTTTTGCTAGATGATGTAATTCTCAGGGTCAGAAAAGCAGATCCATACTTTGAGGGGGTAGGCCCTGGAAATTAGGAACCCAGAGAGAACCGCTGATCAATGGGGAAAAGTGTACAGAAAAATGCCAGTGGGTCTTCAAAGATAAGCTTTCCTTCCTTGACCATTGTACATAGCTCATATACTCCATTCCTCTTTGGGTTCATGTGAATGAATGAAAGGTGTATCTTAAAAAACTCAGGGTTTATTGCTAAAGAAAACTTATTTGTTTGTTCAGGTTGGGGTTAGGGAGGTATAAGTTCCACTTTGCCATGGTAGCAACATACACACCTTTTAAATAAGAAGATCATTTTCATAAACCTATTAACAAAAAACAAAAAACAAAAAACCTCACTGCTATAGAGCCAATTCCAACTCATAGAGACCCCCTTTGGGTTTCCGAGGCGATACATCTTTATGGAAGTAGATTGCCCAGTCTTCCTTTCGTGGAGTAGCTGGTGGGTTTGAACTGCCAACCTTCTTGTTAGCAGTCAAATGCCTTAGGTGCTATGCCACCAGAGCTCCTTCATAAGCCTATTAGAACCATATAAAGATTTAAAGAATCTTATTATATAGAAATAACAATCAAGAATTATCATTTTTTAACTGGAGGATTTATTTTTAACAATATGAAAAGATTGCCCAGATATTTGGCAAATACAAAGCGTTAGCTTATTTTGTTGCCGATTGAGTTCTGAAATAATAACTACAAAGTCAGCTGTAGTTCCCAGAGAAATTTCATAAGAGGATAGAAACCTTGCAAGGTGGAAACACACAGGGCCAGAGACAACACGACTCATAATGACCCCTCCTTGGGTTTCC